AAGGATTAAGGATCTGCAAACAAGATTCTAGGGATGCAAATTTACCGAGACAGAATTAATAGGAAGATTTGGCTTTTTCAGAAGAACTATTTGAAGAAAATCTTACGACGCTTTAACATGCAAGATTGTAAGTCAATTTCTACCCCAAAGAAAATCTTACGACGCTTTAACATGCAAGATTGTAAGTCAATTTCTACCCCACTTCCTGTTAATTTCAAGTTATCCTCCACATGCAAGATTGTAAGTCAATTTCTACCCCACTTCCTGTTAATTTCAAGTTATCCTCCAGTATGAGTCCGAACAGTGAAGAAGAGAGGATGGAGATGTCTCGACTCCCGTATGCATCAGTAGTGAGAAGCTTAATGTTTGTTATGATTTGTACAAGACCAAACATTGCACAAACAGTGGGAGTGGTTAGTCGATACATGACAAATCCTGATAAAGAGCATTAGAATGCTGTAAAGAGGGTTCTAAGATACATTCAAGAAACCTCAAATGTTACATTATGTTATGGGGCATCTGATTTTATTGTCAGTGGATAGGTTGATTTTGATTATGCAGGTGATCGTGATAATAGCAAATCCACCACAGGCTGTGTTTGCACTTGCTGACGGAGCTGTAAGCTGGGTTTTAAAACTATAGTCAGTTGTGACTACTTCAACAACAGAAGCAGAATATGTAACAGCTACACAAGCTAGTAAAGAAGCGATGTGATTGAAGATGGTGCTGGAGGAACGCGACCATGAACAAAAGAAGATAGCTTTATTTTGTGACAGTAAAAGTGATTTGCATTTGGCAAGAAATCCAGCCTTTCATTCAAAGACCAAATACATTCGAGTTCAGTACCATTTCGTTCGTGAGAAAGTGGAAGAAGAAACAATGGATATGCAGAAAATTCACACCAAAGACAACCTAGCAGATTTTTTGACAAAAACAGTCAATACAAACAAATTCATTTGGTGTAGATCCTCTTGTAGTCTGTCAGAGACATAAGCAACATAAAGATGGCAAGATAGAAAGAATGATGTGAATATATGATTGATTCTTAATCAAATCTTTAAGTGAGAGATTGTCAATCAGCCGACCCTTTTGACAAAAACAAAAGAACACCGAAAGAGCCTCCAATTGTTGACAAAGGAAAAGAAAACAAAAATGGCGGCCCCACAACATAGTAAAATATTAATATTTTATTATACATAGTGTTTTTCCAAACACTATAAGTAGACTCCAAATCCTTAAAAAAAAATCATTGCAGAAATAACTTCTCTTGTAGAAGAGTGAGAAAGAAAAAAATTAGAGAGAGTATCTCCTTGTTAAGAGGGATTATAACTCCAGAGTTTTCTCCTTATAGTAAATTCTTCTATTCTTGCCCGTGGACATAGGTAATCAAGTGCCGAACCACGTAAATCTGTGTGTTTATCATTTTATCTCTACTTTTGCTCTACTATTGATGCGACTCTGTTCTATTGGGCCCCGGGTTTGTCCAATAGATGTGGCTACCACGGATCCAAGAAAAAGTGGGGAAAGTTTGATATAGCAGCACTTGATATCACATAACACTTTGTTCTGCATAGTGATACTTGACACTTATGTAAGAGTTCGATAGCATAACGTACTGCCAACTTGTGGAACACTTTCAGACTTATCGGACTCACATGAGAAATACAACTACAACCCAACAATATGAGATTGAACTTTTTAATTAATTAGGCTGACACAGACAAACCATATAATTGTTGTTCATATGGGAGGCCTTAGCAACAAATAACTATAGCCCTTAGATTTAGCTGCAAGTGCAAAGTACAACCTCAAGGAAAGAAGTAGAATTGAAGAATGTTCATGTTACCAAAGAAAATTATTGGAAAAAAAGAAACACAAATGTCAGATAACATGTAGAAAGCATATAAGGACACACATATTGAATCAGTTTTTGTGTTGTCTATTGAAATTAAAGGCTAAATGCAACATGTAGAGGATGGAAAAACAGATACAAGCAACATGAAAAGAAAAATTATTGGAAACAAAGATAGGATATCATAAGTTGTATCTAAACCAATAAAGTAAAGCTGAATTTTTGAAGTATCAAATGATACTGCTGCATATTGGTCGTAGTATGTTCGGTTTTAAATATGCCAATGCGATCTAGTTGAAACTGACCAAAACAACTGATAGTCACAAATAATGACAAATAAGTGGAGATATATGACTTTTAATATCATAAGTTGATTTGATAGTGTGAAACCTTGCTATTAGACTCTCAATTATTCTGTGAATTACTAACTCCACTCCAAAACCATCAACGCTTCCAATACTTATCACCAATAAAATGCGAATAGAAACTACGATCAACACCGAGATCTCAAAACCACATTTAAGGCTTTTCTACCAAGAATAGTCAACAGGAGATCCTAATGTGGTTAATACGAATAAAACTGGGTTTAAGTACTTCTATAAAAAATAAAATTATGGAATCACAATCTAACTCAAGGTCTAACAGCAGAGAACTCTATCATTAAAGCACCCAAACCCCATAAAGGCAACCAGTGAAGGTGAAGGAATCTTTGGAAATGGAACCATAGAGACTTCACGGAGGTTAGGAGATAAGGGCTAGACGGGGGATACCTTGGGAGAAGATCCAATACAGAACATCCTGTGTTAATGAATCCGATAATTTATCAACTTGTAGTTGAGGAATACATACTACTAGCGAGCTACTAAATGCACCAAACAGATATAGTTATAGTATCATTACTTGCAGAGTCAATTTAGTATATTTCTGCAATGTTGTCATGAGCACACAAAAGATACCACCTCGAGTAAAGAGCAATTCAGGCACAGAGCACTTGGGCACGGAGCACTGTGGGGCTACACCTGCTTCCTGGATTAGGCGTAAGGTCCATTGCATAAACACGGCGTGAACCTCAGTGCCCTTGTGCCTTGTGTCTTGGTGCATCTCAGTGGACCTCAATGTGTCATTGCTCTACAGTTCTACTACTATCGCCGCTAGCGTTCTACATCATCTTCTTCCTCGTCTTTGCCTGCCCTTCTTCCGCAGTTTCCTCCTCATTCTTTTTCTACTATTTTCCCTGTTCACTGGTCCACTATCGCCTCTCCTCACTTCTTTTCCCTTTTAGCTTTGTTATTACGCTTACTATACCTAAAACATTGATTATAAAGTTACTAAGTATTGTTTCAATATAGTGGGAAAAAATGGTTATTAATAATGTCAAATTTCAAGTTTTCTGTTTCTTTAGTGTTTTGTATCTTTCTCTTCAGTCTCTACTTAACTATTCATTAACTTATCATCTTTTCATTTCTTAATTTTCCTTGCTGGCATTATAATTCTGCTTCTCCCTTTTATTTCTTGAGCATGTGTTCGCTTCCTTTTTCTCCTCCATTTTTTGCCCTCATATTATCTTCTATGCCTCCTTTTATGTACTTTGCCTTACGGTTTTCTTTCTTTCTCACTTCAATATTGCTCTCTGGAAAGAAACCACTATTACGGAAATATCTTAGCCACTCTTCCACAAAGAAAATTCTCAATGTGAAAAGGAGTCATCTTAAATTCAATCTCATTAATAATTATGTGGTGTAATTAATTTGATTTATCTTCGTTTTAAATCATCATTATGTTCAAAATGTTAAAGTTAAACACATGGTTGTTGTTGCACCTCATTTAAGCAAGGCACACAGTCTTGCCGCTTGAAGGCCTATGTGACTTGCTCCTTGATACCTACCTCTGTAAATCTAAGTCCAGCCACCTTAGGGAGTACAGAAGACTTACATGAATTATGAATGACATGACAATGATTTCGGGTAAGTTTATTTATCTTAGTTAATGGATCAGCCCAAACCTGCAGAAGATCTAGATTCATCTTATGCCAGAGCTCATCATAACAGGTGCAAAAAACTTAACTAGGCACCTCTAACTTCTTGAAGATGAAAGGAACCCGGACTGAAATAGAATGGTAGATCCCCACTCATTGAAATACCCAACCATCTTGTATGGCAATAGATAATAAAATAGGTGCAACCATGATCAAACCTCATAAGGACCTGGTAAATTCTTCTTAGAGTTAATTGCTTCAACAATGTGGCAAAACTTAACACGCACAAGCATTGAGGAAGCCTCGTTTTCAAAAGCGTTAATATTTTGAATATCACCTCTGCACAATTTAACGCAAACCAAGTATAAAGTAAAGGATCAACTTCTCTCCTACTAACGCCTGTTGGTGGTACTGTTGTCTGATCCAGCTTACACTTAATCCTCTATTGCTAACTGAACCTCAAAAAAGATCATATTTATGCAATTTTACAGCCCTTAGCCTACCTCCATGTAAACAAATATTCAAAAACTTACTTTCACATAACACGCTCATGATACGTCAACTTTATAGCTTCAAATTCGGACTATTACAGGGCCAACATTTGCATAGCTGAATGAAAAGTTGATTAAGTATGAATCACATATTTTCATCAAAAAGGCATATTTGATATGATACATTTTAACCTACCATGCTTGTCATCTTGCTGTCGCAAACTTTGTATTTCTAGGGCACAGTCAAAGGCTTCAACTGTGTGTTTTGCTGCCAGGCACCAACAACCACTCTAACCTTGACGGGGACACATGTTCTTTAAAGCCTTAGGACAAAGGAACTACCCACAGGGAGCAGGAAGGTTTAATTACAGCTTTAACTTGGATTGGATGAAGAGAAAGAATTGTAGTCATAGCTAAAGTGAATGCCACTCTCATGTGCTTACCAGTCTTTTTTTATTTATTTTTCCTCTTAATAAAGAAGGTCATAACCAATTCCAGGCACCAATCTATCAAGCCCAGTAAAGAGAGACAGTAGGTCCACCCAGCTTCTATAATTGTTTCAGAATATTCGAATAAGTTATCAATTACGCACATAGGTCACCATGCTTCAACCGAACATAATTTTTTTAAAAATATATTCAAGAAAAAAAATCTAAAAGGAGAAACTTTGAGGGAAACCTACCCGGCTAGCATCAGCAAGTGTCCCAAAATCCACACTATCATCAATCCAAAGATCAGTCACAAGTGTTTTGCAATCTTTTCTAGCAGAAACACAAACAGGATCATCCTACAATGCAAAATACAAAATTTTACAACTAAACTGCAAAAGAAATTACGAAAAAATTCACAACAACCTCTATTCAAAGAAGGCAAAGCTTACATAAATACGACCGGAGACAATCACATGAGTACAGCTATCATCATATCTACCAACATCGATTCCACCTCTCCGTACAATCTCAGATCGGTACTGAAATTAAAAGTACATTCCCAACTTTAAAACGAAATTTACATAAAAATGCTCTATTTTTTTTCAAGAAAATCGACACACCTGAGATTCAGAGACGGAATCAAATCCAAACAGAACGAATCGAACGCCATCGAAGATCTTATCAGAGCTACTCGAACTCGAGCGGCTCTTCAGCATCTCAGTCGATTAAATGAAAATAATACAGATAATAGAAGGAGAATTTTGAAACCCTAGGTTTGGGGATTTGAGAAGAGAGCACACGTGAACTGATTGACTTCTCTCGATCGATCTATCGATCGATTGTTGAGAAGGAAGGGGAGTGGGGACAGGGGAGTTGGGCTAATGGGTGCGGCTCCTTCTCGAAGAAGAAGAAGGATATTAAAAAAAAGGAGGGAAAATAATTTTACAATTTTCGGCTAAAGTTGTGATTTGATTTTGGCTTGGGGTGTACACAGGCGGGAGATGGGGGCGGCGGCCGAAAAAGTTATCGCACGTGACACAGACACGTGTGAGCTAAATGGGTTAACTCGTGAGTTGTGTTGATTGGGCTGATTTGAAACTTTGAGCCCGATCCCTGGCCCGAATCTGCAACAGATCCGGCCCGTGTTAAACAAGAGATTCTAAGGGGCTGTTTGGTTGTATGTTTTTACCACGTAAAAAGATGGAAAGTGTAAAAAAATGGGTCCCAATGTCAGCTTTCATCACTTTCAATTGTTTGTTTGTAGTTGTGAAAATAGTGTAAAGTGATTTCATATGCTGATGTGACTTGTAAAGTGATTTTATAAAAAAAGACATGATTTTAGGAGAAAGCTGACATTAAAGTCAGGAAAAAATAATAAAAAATAATTCCAACCAATATGATCATTTGAGTAGTGACCACTTTTTACACTTTTCAAACAAACAATTAAAGTTACATTTACTAACCAAACAAGCAATTTATGATTCCAATGGAATCAAAAACAAACAAAGAAAAGTATAAAAGTAAAATTGATGAGGTGGACAACAACTTTTCAAGTTGTGTCATAAATACACAACTTTACCAACAACCACCAAACAACCCCTAAGGGACATTGGGACCGACATTTTTTCGCGTAATTAATAAAGATGAACAGAAAATTTTCAAATTGTTATTTTTTTAGACCCACTAAATTGGTTTGGTATTTATAGCTTCGGGGTTTTTTGGTATTTCTTTCTTAGCATGATGGTCAAATATGTGCCGCCGACTAAAAAAATTAGGTTTCGGTCCTTCAAATCTTTAGTAGTTTGATATTAGCACCTCAAATCATTGAAATTTTCCCTCTAACCTGCCTCCACCTCACCCCTCCTTGCGCTCCACCGTCTTCCCCTTCCCTTTTCTGTTTTCCAATGCCCCTCCTCTTTTCAAAACCCTCAAAATCCCTAGCCCTAACCCCCTCCTACTCTCTCTCTTCACACCCGGTCATGGTGGAGCTCACAACTCCCTTACATGACCCCTTCCTCCACCAAGGAACATGAAAAGGGGAAGGAAAGGCGTTGGAAGTGGGGAAGAGGTGGGGTTGGGTTTTTTTTATGGTTGGGGTGGGGGTTGAATTTCAGTGATTTTGAGTAGGGATGACAAAATGGACCCAAAACCAATTGTCCACTCATACCCACCCGCCAAATGAACCATCCAAACCCACCCATTTAGTTAAATGGGTCATAAATGGGTGGGTATAGTTTCTATTAAAGATAAATGGGTCATTAATGGACGGGTTATTACCCACACATTTACCGTTTAGATGGATATTGTTTTAAAAACACCCTCAACGCTTTAACAATGACAAAACTTATTTTTAAAAGTTAAAAATTATAGAAAACACTTAAAATGACTAAAACCCCTTAAAATTTTACAAAACTTATTTTTAAAAGTTAAAAATTATAGAAAACACTTAAAATGACTAAAACCCCTTAAAATTTTAAGATTTGCAAAAAACACCCTCAAAGTTTAAAATATTATAAAAACGCCCTCAAGAGTTAAAAATTATAAAAAAACTATCAAAATTTTCTAACCTCACAGATGACACATGAAATTCAAAAATTACCACCAGCCCCCTGAAATTTTATAATTTGCAAAAAATACCCTTAAAAGTTGTAGAAAATGAGAAAAACACCCTCAAGACTTCAAAATTACCAAACAATCTTAGAGTTTTCTAAACTTGCAAATGATATATGAAATCTAAAAAATTTCAATAGTCTCCTATAAATTTAAAATTTGTAATTAACACCCTCAAAGTTTTAAATTTTTAGAAAAACACCCTCCATTGTTTAGATTTACAAAACCATCCTGAAATTTCAAAACCTACAAATGACACATGAAATCAAAAATTACTAGCAACCCCCTATAAATTTATAATTTACAAAAAGCGCCCTCAAAGTTTAAAAATTGCAAAAAGTACCCTCAAGAGTTCAAAACTACAAAACAATCTTAGAATTTTCTAAACTTGCAAATGACACATGAAATCTAAAAATTTTTGGTAGTCCCCTATAAATATCAAATTTGCAAGTAACACTCTCAAACTTTTAAAAATTACAAAAAACACCCTCAGGGATATATAAATATAAAAAGTAGGCGCTCATAATTCCTCGTCGGCAGGAGATATATGCGTGTGCGGCCAAGTGTAATTTGCAAAACTTGTGTCTATTGCGCGTGAAACAGGAGAGAAAGAGAGCGTGTATTGTTATCCGGTGTGATAAAACAATTTCAAGAAGAATTACTTGGGGACACTCTATAATTAAGAACAAACATGGAAAAAATAATAGACTTTAACCAACAACAAATATGAAGAAATGAACAATTACGCTCATAGCTCATGGATTTTAAGAAAGAAATGTTTACAGAAAACCTCCTGAAAAATTATAGAAAACCCCCTAAAAGTTTACAAAAACCCTCTGAAAATTTGTAGAAAACCCCCTGAAAGTTTACAGAAAACCCCCTAAAAGTTTACATAAAACCCCTAAAAGTTTATAGAAAACCCCCTGAAAGTTTACAGAAAAACCCGTAAAAGTTTACAGAAAACCCCTAAAAGTTTGCAAAAAACCCCCTAAATATTTGCAGAAACCCCCCTGAAAGTTTACATAAAAACCCTAAAAGTTTGTAGAAAACCCCTGAAAGTTTGCAGAAAATCCCCTGAAAGTTTACAGAAAACCCCCTGAAAGTTTACAGAAAACCCCCTGAAAGTTTGCAGAAACCCCCCTGAAAGTTTACATAAAACCCCTAAAAGTTTACATAAAACCCCTAAAAGTTTACAGAAAACCCCCGAAAGTTTACAGAAAACCCCTTGAAAGTTTGCAAAAAATCCCCTGAAAGTTTGCAGAAACTCCCCTGAAAGTTTACAGAAAATCCCCTAAAAGTTTGCAGAAACCCCCCAGAAAGTTTGTAGAAAACCCCCTAAAAGTTTGCAGAAACACCCAGAAAGTTTACAAAAAACCCCCTAAAAGTTTACAAAAAACCCCTAAAAGTTTGCTAAAAACCCTCTAAAAGTTTGCAAAAAAAACCCCTAAAAGTTTGCAGAAAACCCCCTGAAAGTTTGCAAAAAACCCCCCTGAAAGTTTACCAAAACCCCCTGAAAGTTTGCAAGTAGATCCCTGAAACTTACATATATATAGAAGCATCATAATCATAACTAAATAGGTTATTGGGTCACCCATGAACCACTCATTTAGTAAATGGGTGGTTGAGAACTGACCCATTTAGCAAATGCTAAATGGGTCATAAATGTTTAAGTGGTCATAAATGTGCCCACACATTTATGACCTAACCAAGACCCAACCAAAACCACCCATTTGACATCCTTAATTTTGAGGGACTAATTTTCAAAAAAAAAATTGCCGGTGATTTGTAAATGGGTCTAATTGTACATTTGGTTCACTTTAAGTACCAATAAATCATCAGAGCTATAAACAATACCAAACCGCCTACGTGGGTCTAAAAAATAGCAATTCGGGAAATTTTCCAATGATAATCTATGCAAGTGAAATATGGGTAAATTTCATAAAACCCCCCTTCACTTTGAATGATCATCAAAAATCCCCCTTAACTTCCAAAATATCAAAAAAAAAACCTAAGTATAGGGATTATCACCCATTTAGGTTTTAGAATTTTTTTTAAAAAAACTTCTTTTAACTTTCAGATTTTATTAAAAAATCACCCTAATTTACGGGTTTTTATGATAAAATCTCAAAGTTAAAAAAGGTTTTTTGATAACTCCTAAATTTAATGGGGGCTTTTTGATATTTTGAAAGTTTAAGGGTTTTTTTTGTGTAATCGTCCAAAGTTAAGGAGGGTTTTATGATATTTGGTCGGAAAATAGTTTGTGCGTCCATTTATTGGCTTGACCACTCATTAAGGGTTGGTTTAATATTACTTTTTTCTTAGAAACACTATAACTTTAAGAATCAATGAATGATCTGGAGAGCGTTTTCTGACCGCTTGCAAAGAAATTGAAGGAGGAGGAAGGGAATTGAGAAATGTTATTACCCGGAAATGATTAAGTGTTAATCCTCCTCTAGGAACAAACATGTGTCCACTCTAGCTAACCATCAGATTGACTTCACCCTAGGTAGAACAACTCGAGTAACATCGATAATATCCTTCCTAAGGAAGGTCGTTTCGAAAGGCAATGTCACTCGAAGCCATTATTTGAGTCAACCCCTACTCCCCTAAACCCTACGAGGCCGGGTCATGAACTTTCGAATCTAAGATGGCTGAATAAAAAGGTGGTACTTATCGGCCCGCTCACAAGACCTAGACAAAAGGCGACATTTGTTAACCCTCTCACAGAGCCTAGGCAAAAGGTGGTTTGACCTCGAATCCCCCACCGACAGTCAATCGTCCTCACATTGAATGCTCGATTAGAGCCATCATTATTCCAGCTTCGAAAGTCTTTATGACTCATCGGACCTTGTTAGCACCATGTATTCCTCATCATCATCATATTAAACGCATAGTTGACTCATCCCCTCTGCAGCCGGCACTTGTAAAGTATCTACCGACCGAGCTGCTTGCGTGGACTCGACCAAAGTTATGCAACTGCCTCTTGGACCTGCTATAAATAGAGGCATTGTTTTGCTACATAAGGATAAGCAATTTCTTGCTACTAAACACATTTTAGCCATACTTCTTCTCCACTTAATCACTTGACTGACTTGATCGTCAGAGAAATCACCAGAGATCCCAACTCCGATCCTCTCATGTGTTGTTTACATGCAGGAATGAATTCACGGCTCAACAACCAATTGTTTAAGAAAGATTAATGAATCCTAATACACTGGTAACTCTATAATTAACATCATGTTTGATCACTGACATTAACAAGGAAGAGAGAGAGAAATTGTGAATTATGTAAAAAGATGATCCGTACAATTTATAAAAGGAAAGAAGGTAAAG